ATATGAGATAAAATGTGGCTGGAAAACTATGTGAAAGAAGACCAATCATTCTAACACCTTGGCTTGCAAGTCGCAAGACGTTGGTCTTTGAGACCATACTGTAATAATTTCTGTAGAAATGTATATCATCCTTCTTAATGATCATTTTGTTCTCTTGATCTTCTTCAGAGGTATCCTGTCCAGCTCTCCCTCCGCCTGCATCAGGTTACGTACTGGGTCGCGCGCCGTACCGAGCTGGTGACGTTCTCCAATTCCATTGCAACCCAGAGCACACGCTACACGGCAGACCCATCCTTGTGTGTCAGGACAGCGGCCGGTGGAGCGACAAGCCGCCCACTTGTGAGTAATGTATTAACGCTTATGAAATAAATGTATTTGAAACAACGCAGCATTTTAATCTATCGCTTTATTTTATGTTGCCCCCATAAACTAACATCAAGTCTTTCGTAACGTTATTAGTTACAAATTAATAACTTCCTTTGTAAATTAATTAAGTACATCTTGTTTCAACTAACTAACCGTGGGTTTCTGATACCAAACCGTTTAAAACATATTGTTATCTCTATTTTGTCAAAGATAATGACAAGGATGACGATATGTTTTATACACAGATTTATCTATTTAATAACACTAAATAATAGATCATAAAACATATAACAATGTTAAATATTTCCGGAGAATTTTCAAAATCTCTGTATTTAACTTCATCACATCGCTTCTATTAAGGCTTTAACTAGTGCTTTTTCTTTACTAAGTGTTGTCTGTGTGTTTGGCTTCGTAATTGCTAATATACTAACAAAATATATAAACTACAGGCCATCATATTCTAACCTAAAAAAACATCTCATCATAATAAAATCTGTAACCTAACCTAACATAACCTAACATCAAATTGGCTTTTAAACCTATAAATTTATTACAAAGGTGCGCAAGCGTGCACATATCCCGGAACGACAATATCAGGTCGCATGTCGTCTGTCAAGTTCTACTACAAGATAGGAGAGACTGTCTCTTTCACATGCGAGCCTGGATACAGGATTAAAGGAGCACCGATGTTACGATGTCTTAAGTAAGTTTATTCATAATTTATGTACATAGAAAAACATGATTTATTTAGTTAACAGACGAAAAAAGCCTGGCTGAATACAATTTATAATACTAGGTTAACGAATACCGATAGAATAAAACCTCATTTGTCAAAATCTGTTTGGTCGTTTATTCTACAAGCAGTAACACAGATGTCTATAAATGTATAGGCGATTGTTTGGATGTGACCGCTTTTGCTTGGTTACGTTTTATACGCGCGTTGATGTTACGTGACAGATAATTTTATCTTTATTATTAGTTCGTATCCACTCCACCGCCACCATCAGCGCCAAAATGGCGAACATCAAATTGGCACAAAATACCGCGTCTTATAGCCAGTTTTAATAGAGGCAAATGGGCGGTAATAATATAACTGAGATTCTTAAAAACTAGTTGTATGTACAAGAGAAAAACTCCTTTAAGTCACTCGGGTAAAAGAAGTAGATTCATAAAAATTACTGGTTTTTAAATGTAAAATTATAATTATTTTACTTCTAATCTTACTATTATAAATGCCAGAAAAATTGGCGTACATAAATGTAGAACACAGTCTAGAAGAAGACGGACGGACGGTGACGTAATCGACAGCTAGTATGACTAATGAAAAAATTACATTTCAGGAATAGAAAATGGTCAAACGCTATACCATTATGTACGCCGATTACAAACTACACATCATCCGAATCCGTCATGTTGAATGGTGACATCGACGCCATGTTGTCTGACGCCGCTGTCAGTGTCATTCCAGACATCTTGCGGACGCGCGAAACGCCCGCCATCTTGACACCGCAGAGTCTAAAAGCCGCCATGACACGAGTTGCTGCAACTAGATTACTCCGCAGAGCGTCTATTGAAACATATAAAAATAGAATTTCAAAAGTAAATAGATTATTACGCAGAGATTATGAAAGATAATTTTAATTATTAATTTAGTGGTATTAAAACAAAATGGCGTCTAATTTTTCTTCGTACAAATGCTCAATATTATTTTCTTTTGTTTTTAATTTATAACCAGATATAAATGTATTAGAACTTACTTAAGACTTATTTTGATATGTTTTTCTTGCATTTAAATAATATAATCGTTAAATTTTGAATATTGTGTTAAACTTTAATATGAAATTAAATACAAAATTGAAGACTTATTCTTTAACTTTCTAGTTAAAATTTAAATAACCAAAGATATCAAATGCATGACCACAAACCTGTCAAGACTAGTTTATCCGTTTAAAAAAAATTGGAGAAAATAATATTATAAAAATAAAAAACATAATTCAAGAGTAATATTCTGAAATTGTACATTTTAACTATATTTTCAACTTCAATATACCTTCATTAGATTACTTTTACGTCCTTAATATTAATAAATTTAAATATATGGATTTGATGTTAATATATATATGTATTTAATAAGAACATTTAATATATTATAAGTTAATTATATCATCGTTATCATCATCACTATACGTCCCCACTGAGGGGCTCGGAGCCTACCCTAAGTTAGGCGTAACTAGGCCATAGTCAACCACGCTGGCCAAGTGCGGGTTGGTTGACTTCACACATATCTTTGAATTTATTCTCAGATATGTGCAGCATCACGATGTTTTCCTTCACCGTAAGAACGTCGGATAAATGTACATATGTAAATCGGAAATCGAAAAACACATTGGTACATGGCGGGATTCGAACCCAGGAACTGCAGATTGCAAGTCAAGTGCTTGACCTCTGGACCACCGACGCTCAACTTAATTATATATCATATAAAATGTAACATTATTTCTCATTTTACATCACAGGGGACCGAAGAGCTGGCAGCTATCTCGGTCAAAGAATTAGTTTAGCTGTACAGAGGGGGAACGCTGCCAGTATCTTCGGGACCTTGCCTAAAGGGACTCCTTTTAATAACATATTTTAGTGAATTATTCGTTTTTTTTTTAATACTTTATTTTATATCATAGTTTAACATTTGTAAATAATCTTGCTTCGCCAAAGATATAGAATAATAAATAGTCCATTTCATTAATTAAGTAGTTTTAATAATTAAATATTATATTATTAATAATATAATTCTGTTTATTCTTTAGGAAATCTGTAGTTTACATGTTTCAAATGCTCTGTTATACGACGCACAAATATATAGACGCATAAAAATTATTACATAAGGGGACGTCCTTAAATTATGTGAGGTCTTATTTTTAATTCTCTGCTCCTCCCTCCCAACTGGTGAGATGTCGTGAGATTTTATTCAATCCCCTCCCCCCCTTCCTCACACTCATTCACACCAAGATTTTTCAAAATGAGTTATATTAACGCGTTGGATTGTTATTGTAAAAGAAAAAAAAACCGCATCGTGCTTTTGTTTTTTATGTTTCAATCAGAAAAAAAATTGCGTGATATTTGCCGAGATTACTATCTCCAACGTAAGATTAGATGAGATCTGACTCGACCCCCTCCCCCCTTAAGCACCTCACGTAATTTACGTACGCCCCCTAATACTAACAAACAGCTCTAGAAATATATTTTAATAAAGGTGCTTACAAGTTAAGCCTGTGTACATCAATGCAATCGCGAAATTATATTAATCAGTGGGGTTAGACAAAGTGCATTCGCTCCGAAGCAATTCCATAATGAACTTTAAAGAACTGACAATGACAGTTAGTTCCATACATTTTTGAAGTTCGTTAGAATTCGCTTCGTAGCGAATGGATTTTAACTAACCCCAGTGTAATGTGGGCGCACCTTTATTTGACAAAATATATGAATAGAGTTGTTAATATATTCTAGCATATCAGACGCATATCTCCCACATAAATACATGTCAAAATTATGTATAAATTTTACAGTACATATTAATAATTATTCTGTCCTTAAAAAAATAAACAACGATTTAAATATTAACAACTTGTTTTATTTAATAGGTTTATCGTATAATTAAATATATTAGAAAAACAAACGCCTTTAAAATTAATATAGCAATGTTAACAATACGCGGATCGCGTCAAATTACATTGTCAAAAATCAAAAATTTTAATTATAATTTCGAGATTCCAAAGATCCCTTTGTCTATAAAATTAATGTTTACATAAAAAAAAATTGTTTATACATTATTTTCCTTTTTCAAACATCGTCAATTCATCGGAATTTGCACAAAAACATGAACCAAATAAGTCGTAGCTTCATAATATGCACTTAATTAGTAACTATAAAACTTGAAGAAACGATGTAAACTAGTCGTAAGTTTTTATCAACACATTTTCTACATACCGACCTACATGCGCTCTGACGATCACAAAAACGATAATTCCAACAATGTATGCCTCAAGATAAACTCGTATTCAATAAGCAATAAGAAATATGGCGGGAAAATAGATTCAAAATGGAGACATTTGGCGGGAATTTGTTCGCAGTACATTTGTAATTCTTCTCGATATTACTCCTGGAAGAGATTTTAAAAACAACTTAATATAATCTTACTAATATTATACATGCGAATGTTTGGATGGATGGATGTTTGTTAGAAGATATCTTCAGCACGGCTGTATGGATCATGGATGTGTCACCTTTGTAGACCATAGCCTAGAACGAACCTAAGAACCTACCGAAGAACACATAGGCTACTAATTAAGTTTTTTCTATAATTCCGCGCGAACAATTTCGAGGGCGAAGAAAGCTAGTTCGATGTAATTTCATTAAAATGAAAATAGTCAAAATGACCAAAAAGGCGGGCAAAAAATTGTTCACTGTAGCCAAAATTGCTGCCAACATAGAGAAACATATTATCTCTCTTCGAAAATCCTGAGGACAATAAAAAAATTCTACGTGTGTTTCGACAATGGGTACTCAGAGTAATTTAATCAATCAGTTCCCAGTCAATACTAGGTACTACATACAGGTAATTAAGTTTTGTGACCGTAACCCATCACAGATCGTCAGTTGAGCGCGCGCAGCGCTGTTGTTCAGACGTGTGTCACGTGTATTAAGCGCGCCATTTTTACGACTCAAAAAAATAAAGTTCTGTATTTAGTGCAGTGGTTAAGTGATTGTGTTGTGTTTAATGATAAGCCTTTAAGGTGGGTTAATTGTTTTTTTCATTATACAGACATTTGTAACGCAATTATGCCAATCTACCTGCGTATTTCGTTTTATAGATTTTAGTGTGTTTCTACCTAATATATAAGTTAAAGGACGTTTAGATAAAATTATGTTTTTCATACTTTAGTAAAGAATTTATATATTTTTTTCAAGAGTTAAAAGAGTAGAATCTTTATTAAAATTGCCAAATAAACATTGAGCATGTAAGAATAGATCAGTAGAAACAAAATAGGTGTGCCATGGTCATTCCTATCTCTGCCTACCTTTATTACATATAGATTGTTAATTATTGAAAATGTTTGTATGATATCCTGCTGTGTTGTCTTGATCCGTTATTTTATAGGCATGTTACCGGTTCGTAAAACCGAATTCTTAGGTCAAATAACATGACCCTTAAATAATTTGAACATAACTTGGAATTAATTAAAACTTATCGTATGAAATTAATATATTTTTTAGAATTTTTTATGTACATTTATACGATGTTCTTACGGTGAAGGAATATATCGTGATGGTGCACATATCTGAGAAGAAATTCAAAGATATGTGTGAAAACTAACTCTTTTTTTTTATATATCATAAGGTGGCAAACGAGCGAGCGGCCACCTGATATCGCTGAAATAGCGAAGTGACCGTTGCCCATAGACATACGCAATTGCATATGCGTTGCCGACCTTTAATCGATGGAGGAGAGGATGCACAGAATGAATACATTTTCCCCTTCCATGCATCCTCTCATGCAGAAAATCCACTTCCACTTCCCATCCTTTCCTTATGAGAAAAAGGGTGGGAAGGGAAAGAGGACTAAATCAGGCATCCGGTACGCACACTCTTTAGACGAAACGCGGAATATCTTCCACTTCACGCCTGTCTTCTGTGTGGTCGTGGTATTTCACCGGGCGAGCCTAGGCGCCTCTATGCGAGCGTTGACTATGGTTTATCATCCTAACAGTATAGAATTTAGCCCAATACATGTATGCAGTTACAATACGTCATATAAAGATGGAATCTTAAATACGACACTGCGAATGTTCACTCGAAAACATTAGACGTGCAAAAAGTGCATTAACATAATAAATACGTTATAAATTATTTCCAAGGTTATTTACAATACTTTAAAGATAATTATGTTGCTTAGTTTCACACGTGGCTGCCACAGAGTTAATTAGGAATGAGTTTTTATATGAATGATTGAATTATTTATATCTTTATTATATTTAACGTCAGTTTCCACTGTTGTTTAGCATGTGTTTCGATTAAGAAACACTTGTATTTTACAGTGGTAGAGCCCGCTTTAACATCTTCTCACGAATAGGCCCGGCTCGCCCGGTGAAATATCACGACCACACAGAAGACAGGCGTGAAGTGGAAGCAAGTCCGCGTTTCGTCTGATGAGTGTGCGTCCCGGAGGCCAAAATTAGTCCTCTTTCCCTTCCCGTCATATTTCTTATAAGGAAAGGATGGGAAGTGGAAGAGGACTTTCCGGATGAGAGGATGCATGGAAAGGGAAAATATTTTCTTTCTGTGCATCCTCTTCTCCGTCGATTAAAGGTTGGCAACGCATATGCAATTGCGTATGTCTATGGGCGACGGTCACTTCGCTATTTCAGCGATTTCAGTGGCCGCTCGCTCGTTTGCCACCTTGTGATATAAAAAAAATACAATATTGTTTAATAGTGTCTGGTATTGCTGATGTCTATGGGCGTCGTTGAACACCTCGGTGTTCTCGCCGTTCGTTTGCCCATTTCTGTTATAAAAAAAATTGTGTTACAGCCCAATAAGCCTGGGACCTTATTTTAGTTTACGTTCCGTTTCTAATCTTTTCTTAGGAAGTACATTAGGTAGAAGAACGTCTCTATTCTACGCGTCGCTTCCTCCATAGACTAAAAGTAGGCAACGCATCTGCAGATGTCTATGAGCAATGCTTCGCTATTTCAGCGAATCCAGCGTGATTCCATAACGAAATCAAAAATGTATAGAAGAAGAAAGTTGTTGTCAATTTTATACATTTATGAAGTTCTTTATGGAATAGCTTCGGAGCGAATGCACTTTGTCTAGTCCCCTGTAAGCTGCTTGTTCGTTTACCACCTTATAATATAACAAAAAAAAATAGTATCTGTGTTGACATAAGAATGAGATTTAATGTTGATTGTATCAGTGGAAACGTTCAAAAACATGTCAATGCTTCGCCTACCTTTGTCGGATGTGCAAACTATTAGCAAGTCGCTAATCAGATGCAATGTAAACGCAGAGATGCAAATGTTTTTTATTAACGAAATATTCACCTCTATATACATCTTCAGGATATTTGTTACCGTCCGCGTGAATTAAAAAAATACTCCCACCTGTACCCCATGGGTTCTTCCAGACTATGTTCGAGATCCATGCAACAGTTCTGGAGATAACTTCTAATAAACATCGGAATTAAAAAAACAAAATTAATAGTCTATGTCTTCTTCCACATTATGTTCTATACGTATGCCAAATTTCATCGAGAACCGTTCAGCTTTTCTGAAGATACAACTTCAAACAAACATCCATCTAAACATTCGCATTTATAATATTACTAGCGATCCCCCAACCGTCCATCCTTTCGCATTTATAATATTAGTAAGAAGTAAGACAAAGGGGAAATGTTTAATGTTTGTTTGCATTTTAAAGGCTCCGAAAGCACTGAAGCAATTCTACACTATCCCAGGATAATATAAGCTTTATCTATTACTAGATTTTTAACTCTGCGCGAACGAAGTCTCAGGAAGTAGCTAGTGTTATATAGCTATGTTAAAATAATAACATAACCAAAAGTTTACAGTTCCACACCTATTGGTCTTTATTGGTTTGAATGAAAATGTGTTTGAGAAGTTCAGTGGAAATTCTCCTTAATGCTACACGTGTGCAGTTTAAGCTATCAGTACTTAAGTTATATTGGATTCAAGGCACGAGTTTATTACATAATGGCCGGTTGATGGCGCTCTAGTCGTGAGTTCAAATCTAATTAAAACATTCAATTGTTTACGAAGCATTTGCTGGATAGTTAGTTCTTTTATTTGATGAATCATCAGCTCACTATACATCCCCACTGAGGAGCTCGGAGCCTACCCTAAGTTAGGTGACTAGGCCATAGTCAAGCACAGTGCGGGTTGACTTCACACTTATTGAATTTCTTCTCAGATATGTGTAGGCATTACGATGTCTTCCTTTAACGTAAGAACGTCGGATAAATGTACATATGTAAATCGAATAACACATTGGTACGTGGCGGGATTCGAACCCAGGACATGCAGATTACAAATCAAGTGCTTTAACCCCTGAGCCACCGACACTACTTTATAAGGTTCATATTTCACTATTATATACTAAGCGATATGTTTTAGCAATAACAACATTTGCTTACTTAATATGTATAAAATTACATTTGTATTATTTAAAAATTTATGTTGGTACTGCCAACTGTTCTAGTTTCGTTTAATTTGTTTACTAGTCAATAAAGTTAAACCTTTTAACACATTCACACACTGAAAGTATTGATTAGTAAACAAATAAAACAACAGGTCCTGGGTTCCAATCCCGCCAGGTACCAATGTGTTTTTCGATTTCCGATTTACATATGTACATTTACCCGACGTTCTTACGTTGAAGGAAAACATCGTGATGCAACCTGCACATATCTGAGAAGAAATTCAAAGATATGTGTGAAGTCAACCAACCCGCACTTGGCCAGCGTGGTTGACTATGGCCTAATCACCCTTAACTTAGGGTAGGCTCCTAGCCCCTCGGTGGTATAGTGAACTGATGATGAACACATTCAGTGCCACAAACTCTCCTGGCAAGTTCATTATTATAAGATAAAATTGTATTAGCATGGAATGTGTTTAAATTTATTGGATCTGTGGTGATAGATTAATGCTCTGTTGAGAAGGAGCGATTTAAATGGGCGTATCCATGGCTCATGATGGACGTTAGCACAATAACGCGCCATGGAAACGCACCTTTATATACTTTTTAATTATCCTTATAATCTTTAAATAAAAACGCTAATCAAATCTGAAGACATTCGCAAGAAAATTACGCACCGAGTCCGCCGGAAACATCAAAGTTTTTCCTCACTTCAAGGTCACACAGAGGTCACCACTGATCCTTCAACCGCGACCATACGTAACGTAACAATGTAATTTAAACTTTAATAACAAAGAAGTATAATTCAAATTCGAATATCATCGTTATTTTCAAATTAAATTTTTTCCATAACATAAATCTTTATTCGTCAAAACAGACTATCATATTTATTGGTCATAGTATAAAAATTTAATACTCTGGTCCTATAATCAAACTTATAAAGCCAACTAGCTGTCGCCCGCGACTCCGTCCACGCGGAATTAAAAAAAAAACTTAATAAGCCTATGTGTACTTCCAGACTATGTTCTTCATGTGTGCCAAATTTCATCAAAATGCTTCAAGTACCTTCAAACAAACATCCATCCGTGTAAACTTTCGCATTTATAATATTAGTAAGATATATATGTAGCTGACTGTACATTTATAGCAACAGTTAGTAATAACTTTAGTTATGGCAGATATTTAACCTTGACTTGCGAACACCCGTGCAGTAAATCGTCCATTTCCGCAAACATTAAAAAAAAAACATCGGATGCCTCTTATTATCTACAATGTTTGTAATTTTACTCTCTGACAGGTACTGTTATGATACGTGTGAGAAACACAACTACATCGACTTAGGTATAACCGTAGGAAGCCTAGACTAGACAAAACTGAACACTAACCGTTGGTTTCTGAGACTAAAATCACCGTTTAACATATTGTTATTTCGTGTTTTGTCAATGACATTAAACTCATTAATCTTACTATTATTATAAACTAGCTGTCTCCCGCGACTTTGTCCGCGTGGATATATAAAAAACTTAATTAGTATAGCCCACCCATCCATCCATCCACATCACATCTATGTAAACATTCGCAT